CAAGCAGCAACCCTACTACCTCAGGCAGCTGCCTCCTCTTGTGTCTGCTTACAGTGCAGCTGACCAGGGCCCAGGAAACACAGCAGAGGCCCCAGTGCCTGCTTCTGGTCTGTGCTATCTCACCTTGCTGTGTAGTCCTCTGCCCACCCAGCTTCTGAAAAGACTGGCTTAAAGACCACATCTACCTCCAGAGGAAAGAACAAGTTGGAAAATGTGAAACCTCCTAGTCAACCACGATGAATGATTCTTAGATGATGGCCAGGGAATCTTCCTGAAGACAGTTTCTGGATGGGAGCATGTTTCTGCTCCTGCTGCAAGGCCGAACCCTGAGACACACTGATAATGGATGAAGGAGGGAGGAAGGAGTGGTGGATAAGGAAGCTCCACAGGTGGCTCCACAGGGCCACAATCGCCCTGGAGCTATGGGAATGCTGGGGCACTGCAGGGTTTCCCAAGAGGTCCCAGCATCTGTACAATGTTTCCACTAAGGCACCCTGGCTTCTGCACAAGTCAGAGCCATATGCCTCATTCCTCTGGCATCCCAAAGGCTCAGAATGATTGCCAGACCTGCCCTGTGGACAGCTGTCTTCCCGGGCCTGAGGAGAACAGAGGGAGGACACAGGAGAGATGCTGTTTTGTGTCCTGTTGATTCTTCGATGGCCTCAAAGCAGCAAAGCAGCCACAGAAGTCTGGTTCTATCTCCAAGTTCTTTTTTACCTCTTAAGATCCTACAGTCATTCCTGGCAATGTTCTTTGTTATGTCTTTGCCACTACATATTCACCTCCTCATCACCATGGAAGGAAAACAGGGAACAAATGGTCCCTTGGGCACTGTAACCAAGCAAGCAGATGCTTCCAAGGGAAGGTAAGGCAGAGAGGCTTAACTGCATGACTGAGGAAAACACATTACCTAACCAAGCCTCCCTCGGATGTAGCAAGTCCTACGTTTTAGATAAGAAAGAAGAAAAAGGGTGCAAATAATGTATATAAGGCAGGCTGTGAGTTAGTGATGGAGCGGGAAACAGCATCAAAGTCCCCTGATTCATACCCAAAGCCTCATCTGCCAGCAGGGCCAAGAGTGTGGGCAGTGACACTAAGAGACAAGGTGTCGGGGGAAGAAAGAAAGGACAGCTTGAGGGAGCGCTTTGGAAAGAGCTCATTCAACACATCCCAAGGTCTCCTGCAGCAGCTCCAAAGAATGCCTGGGGTCCTACGTTTCCCGAGAAAGTAACTCAACGCTAAGTTAAAATATGACAGGGGAACTTAATTTTGCATGTCTGACTTGGAGAAGCTAAGTAGTAGGGTGGAAAAGGAGCTGTAAGAAACACTGGACACATGGGACAGGGTGAAAAACACTCTACAGAGAACAGACCTCCAAAAGCAGCAACAATTGCTAAAAGCACCGAGTGCCCCAATAGGGAGTCGGCAGGGTCCGAGAGGAGAACTGTTTTCATATCTGATCAGTGTGAGTAACAATCCTTCTGCTAGCAGCCAGGGTTTGGATGGTATACATTCTCCAAGGGTTCATGTGCTGGAACGTGGTCCCAACGTCACAGTATTACGAGGCAGTGGAATCTCTAAGAGGTGAGGCTCAACTGAAGGTGGTTAGGGATTAGTGTAGTTCTCTCAGGAATGGGCTGTTAGAAAGCAAAGCCACTCCACAAACTCTGCCCCTTCTGCACGTGGCTGGTTCCCTTTCTGTTTCTCTCTCATGTTAAGTGGCCAAAGGAGCCCTTACCAGAGGCTACACAGATGGGGTTGCCAGATCTTGAACTTCCAAGATCCAAAATTGTGAACTATTAAATCTCTTTTCTTTATAAAGTACCCAGCCTTGGGTATTTTGTTATAGCAACTAAAGATGGACTAATACACTTGTAATCTACAGAATAGTCATTTTGGAGTTGCATGTGGAAAGCATAGGTTAGAGTTGAACAATGTCAAGAATGTATATTTTTCCTCCGATGTCTGACATGATCTAACATCAACTGAAAGTATAACCACAGCTAGGAGACCAAAGGCAGTTACAGGAAAGAGATCTGAGATGTCATGTCACTCTGGGGTGAAGGGACTAGCTGAAGAACTGATCTAATTTACTATTTGCAACTGGCCAGTTGTGATGGGGCTGTCCATAGCCACTCTGGAGGCACCCAAAGGTCATCACTCTCACTTGAAACAGAATACAGGCCCCTCTTGCTGAACTAAGCTAGGAGGATCACACCACACAACTGCTTCAAGTGACCCGAAATCAACCATGGATTTAGCCAGGATCTGGGGTTAGGACAACAGGTGAGAAATACAACCACTGGGGGGGTGGGTATTGTGGCACAAGGGGTTAAGACACTGCTTGGGAGAGCCCACATCATAGTCCCTAGGATCAAGTTCCAGCTCCACGCTAATGCACATGGGAGGCAGCAGATGACGGCCCAAGGGCTCAGGGTCCTACCACTTGGGCAACTCGGATGGAGTTCTTGCCTCTTGGCTTTGTGGGCATCAGGAAAATAAATCATGGAATGGAAGATCTCTCTCTCTCTCTCTCTCTCTCTGTCACTCTTGCAAATAAATAAAACTTTTTAAAAAATACAAAACAAACAGAATCACTGAGACCAAGCTGATGAGGTGAAGTGAGTATGGCAAATAACAAGTGAGGTCTCACAAAAGATCTAAGAATGCAAAATCAAGGTAAAAAACACAAGGTCAAATAGAAAGAAAGTGGTGGTTGGAAGCACCGGTGTTCAGCTAATAGTAAGGCTGGAGAAGACAGAGAGCAGAGACTGCCAGAAGGCCTTAACTGTGAGGCTTCCTCCTCCTCTGGCCCCACGTTGTGGGCAAGCTCCACATGCCACTGCTTGCATGAGACCTGACACTCAGGTTCCTTGAGCACATACAAGGAGACGAAAGCAGAGGGTGGCTTGTCCTAGTGATTTGAACAAGGTGCAGTGAGAGGCACCCACAAGATTGAAATCTTCACCTCTCCAACTCTGTTTATTTGTGCATGTAATTAATACAAACTGATACGTTCGTATTTTCCAGATGCATTTGAAAAGCAGGCCCTAAGGTGTGACAAGTTATCAAGTAGGAGTCAACACACAGTGCTGCCCAACAAAGTGGAGATGTCTGGGCAACACCTGAAGGGCACAGCCCACTCTCAGTTATCGCCCTATGGAGCCAGGATAAGGTTTTACAAAGGCTCCCTGCCTTCTACCACTATGGACACTTTTGGGTTTCTTCCCTTACTATCTGTTGATGTGAGGTTGAGTAAAAAAAAATAAATGGACTTAAAAACTATTTTATCTCATCATTACACATTATGCCTGTGTGTGTGCTTGTCACACTTGTTCCTCATGAATATGTACAATCATGCGTCAGTCAAAAATAAAAATGAAACCATTTTATTCATGCTACTTAATTTAAAGGTAGAGCAACAGAGGGCAGTAGGGAGAGAAAGATCTTCTAAATATTGGTTCACTCCCCAAATGACCACAACAGCTGGGTCTGTGCCAGGCTAAAGCCAGGAGCCACGAACTCCATCATGGTCTCTTCTATAGGGGTGGCAGGGACCCAAGTACTTGGGCTATTCTCATAGCCTCGTAGGTGCATTAGCAGGAAGCTGGATTGGAAAGAGAGCAGCTGGGATTCAAACTGGCACTCTGATATGGGATGCCAGCATAGAAAATGGTAGTAAAACTATTTTATTAATCTAAGCAAATCACAACCCAGAAAGTAAATCTGCTGAGAAAGATAAATCTCCCAAAGTCTCTATACTGGCTGAAGCCTTGGCCAAATGTGGCCTAAGTTTTTCTCTTTATTAAGGTCTAGGGCAAGTTTTATACACTGAGCAAAACCTAACTCAAACCTGAAGGAGCAGACATTGCGCACACTAAACTACTCAAGAATGAAGGTCTTGGGGCTGGAATCGTGGTGCAGTGCACCTGTGAAGCCAGCATCCCATATGAGTATTAGTTTGAATCCTGGCTACTCTACTTCTGATCCAGCTCCCTGCTAATGCACCAGGGAAAGCAGCAGAAGGTGGTCGAGTGCTTGGGCCACTGCACCCACTTGGGAGACCTGAATGAACCTCCTGGCTCCTGGCTTCAGCCTGGACCAGCCTAGGCTGTTGCGGACATTTGGGAAGTGATCCAGTGGACAGTAGATCTCTCTCTCTCTGTAACTGTCTTTCAAATAAATAAATCTTTAAAAAAGAATTAAGGTCTTGGTTGACTTGCCATTTGAACCTGACACCACGGGTCACTGATAATTATATAACAAGGAAATGAACAAAAGTGACTTGAAACAATCAATCAACAGAAAGCTGGACAAAAGTTTATTGATTGCCTATCATAATGCAACAGTCATTTAAGTGTGTCTACTATGTGGACAATAATGAGGCATGATGTTAGGGATACATTAAAGCATTGCCCCACCTTTAAGTTATGCAAGAACTATTTCAACAAGTCCATGGAATAAGAATATGAGACTTTTGATGCCAAAAAATGTAAAATCTATGCAAAATTTTCTCATAATATGCATTTCCTATAGACTTTTTGAAGAGTCCTTAAATTACATACTATCAAAGTTGTACACTTCTCACTTAATATAGGGTGATAACTCAATGATCAAAGAAAGTATGTTTTGAATACTTCTGAAAGTTTTGAGACTTCACAATAGCAAAACTTTGAAAAAGAAATCTGTCTGGGGTGGGGTTTCTCCAGCTTGGTAATACTGGTATTTCGGATTCTAGGATTTTTGGTTGTGAGGGGCTCCCCTGTACATTGTAGGAGGTTTAGCTGCATTGCTGACCTCTACCCACTAGATGCCAGTAGCAAGCACCCCCTCCCCACCAAGACAACAAAAGATGTCTCCAGAAGTTGTCAAATGTTGCCTGAGGAGCAAAGCCATCCCAGTGGTTGAGAACCTGGTCTAGAAATGTCTTCTTCATAAATACACACATGCATATGGTTTAGAACATTTTAAATGTATGCTGGAAAAAAAAGTATACTCACTGTGTACAAGAAAACAAAAATCTCTCCACATCAGCAGCAGAGTGAGTTTTGTAAAGCCTTCTGCATCATATTCCACGACACCTCTAAGCAACAAAAACATACACACACAAACAGAAAACCCTCATAAAAATAAGGCATAAAAGGTATACAACTAAGAAAAGAATATATTCACGAAGTCAGGGTTATTGAATCTCAGATGGAGTTACGATGAGTGAGTACTATCACAGGCAAGCGTGGGCTTTGCACTGACAGCACCCAGGTTTAAGTCACGGCCTTGCCATTTAAGGTCTGTTATGACCTTTGGATCCTAGTTTCCTCATCTGTCAAACAAGTGCAGTAAGATTCTCAACCTTCATTTCAGGGTTATGAAACAAATAAGAGAAACCATAAAATGCAAATGTTTGTTAGCTACTAGCTATGAAGAAAAGGACAAGTTCAGCAACCAGGCCAGCATAATAGTGTCAAATGTCATCATATTATCTTTTCAGGGGTTGCTAAGTATTATTTTCACTGAGCATTAAACAGTAATGAGTAATGACAATATTACTAAATTTGGGATTATATATTATCTTTCTCCCAAAGTACGTGGAATCCATTTGTTTTTGAGTCCTTCAGACTGAAGATAAGGTAGCAAGGTTAGATGACTGGATGCTGAGCACAGATGGGAGATGTGTATGTCATGTGTCAAAGCGAATAGCTCCTGGCCACTGACAGGACCAGGCCGAATTCTGGGAGGCTCATCTCAGCCATGTCCCTCAAGAGCTGAGTGCGCCATTAACCACACACTAAGGGCAGGTAGATTGCTCTCTCATCCTTACAAGGAGGCCTTGATGTTCTTGGCGATGCCCTCTTCCTGACTGGATCAGGCCAGTCAGACCACTGATACTCAGGACCCCCCCCCCCTTTTTATTTAAAGATTTGTTTATTTATTTGAAAGGCAGAGTTACAGAGGGGCAGAGGCAGAGAGAGAGAGAGGTCTTCCATCCACTGGTTCACTCTCTAGATGGCTACAAACGGATGGAGCTGGGCCGATTCGAAGCCAGGAGCCAAGAGCTTCCTCTGGGTCTCCCACGCGGTGAAGGGGCCCAATCACTTGGGCCATCTTCTACTGCTTTCCCAGGCCATAGCAGAGAGCTGGATGGGAAGTGGAGCAGCCAGGACTTGAACCGGCGCCCATATGGGATGCCAGCACTGCAGGAGGCAGCTTTACTCCCTACTCCACAGTGCTGACCCCATGACCTCCCACTTAAGCAAGAAGGGACAGTTGCACCCCTTATAAAGGCAAAGGAATAAAAACAAGGCTGAGTGATCTGCTCAAAAGTGGTTTGTATTATCACTTGGAACTGCTGACTTAAGTCAACAATCCTCCATCAGTTTCTTCCTCCTATGAATCTATAATTACCCCAATGCTGTAACATGGAGATTTGTACATTTTAGATCCTGTATCCCATAGACATAAACAAGCACACAGTACCTTTTAGCATGCATTCGGTGAATAATACATGTTTATAATTTAGTAAATGATTCTATAGAAGCCTGCACTATATGCATAAGAAGACATCCACAAAAATATACATAAAAAAGAGTAATTTTGAAAAACAAATGTAAATGCAATTTTCATATTCTCTTGCATCCCAGTGGAGAAGGCTGTGTAATTCCTGGGGAGTGCATGCCCACTTTGGAGGCCCCGTGCTAGTTTCTTCATTTTCAGTTATACATACTAAAGAAAATCTTATTTGAACATTAGAAGATCAATGGGATCGCTTATTAACTATTGTTTATATCAAAAGTATTTGTTCAAAACCTTTATAAATAAAGTTGAGAAAATCTCAAGTATTAAAGATTCAGATAAAAGACAGTCATATAGTTTGGACACTGCTGTTTTGGAATATAAAGAATTCTCTACAGATAATGAGAAAATGTCTTGATATTGTTTTGAGGAGTCATAAATTTTTCTTTCAACTGAACTGTACCAGATTTTGAAAGTTTTATCTCAGGGGCAAGAGGGGAGGGGGCGCTGTGGCATAAAGGGTTAAACCACAGCTTGTGATTTCGGCATTCCCTTATAAGTGTGGAGTTTGTGTCTCAGATGCTCCACTTCTGATCCAGCTCTCTGTTAATGCTCCTGGTAAAGCAGCAGAAGATGGCCCAAGAACCTAGGATCCTGTAGCCACGTGGGAGGCCAGGATGAAGTTCCTGGATCCTGGCTTCAACCTGGCCCAGCCCTGGACATTGTGGCTATTTGGAGAATGAATCAACGGACAGAAGATCTCTCTCTCTTTCTCTTTCCCTCCCTCCCTCCCTTCCTTCTCCCCTCCTCCCCTCTCTATCTCTCTTACTATCCCTCTGTAACCCTGCCTTTCAAATAAATAAATCTAAAAAAAAAAAGAAAAAAAGAAAAGAAAATTGTGTCTCACGGCATGGTCAGCCTTATTTTTGTTATCTTCTTTTTTCCTACTCCCAATTTCCTTTTGTCCTAAGGTCTTCATTTACTTATTTAAAACTTTTATTTTGTGTCACTGTCTACACATTTGCATTATTTACAAACCTCCTCTAGAATAAGGTGAGCTATAACCAGACTGCTGCCTCGTTCCACCCAGTGAGTAGAATGCTTGGCCTTTCAAAGAGCATGAGGAAAACGCATTGTGCACCTGCTGAACTAAGCCCCTGTAGAAGCCCAATGAGGTCTCTGATGGCATTTAAGGGGCAGGGCTGAAGGGCAGCACAGCCACTGGCAGCCAGAAGGCCATCTCACAGGACAGCAGCAGCAGGAGACTCCACTCGGACTGCAGTTATGAGTTCTCCTCTCCCCTTTCCTTGCCACTGACCCTGGATCATCTCCTTCCCAAACCTGTGTGGCTCCGCCTCTTCTATGCATGTGACTTCCATCAGGTAACTGGACTTACCAGTTTCAGGGCTGCCTTCAATAACATGCGTCAATAATGCCGGCCTGGCTCACCTCAGGACTACTGCGAGACAATGTAGGAGGAAGGTCTCTGCGGACCGCAAAGAGCTCTGCAAGCAGTGGGCAGTGCCCCACCATTACTGGGGTGTCTGGGGCTGGTCACGCTGCTGCTCCAGGGAAGCACTGCAGTCTACGCTTGGATGAAGAATGCTACAAAAATGTCTCCCCAGGAGCCCTGGTGACAGCAGCACATCACAGGTGACCCACTGCAGAGTGTCCTATGTAATACCAAAATGCTGTTTTCTGAATCAAGCATCCGTGTTAGGGTCATCGGCAAGCAAGGGCATGGTGCTGAATGGTTCAGAGAACTTACGTGCCAAAGTGACTGAGGAAAGCAGCAATGTACTCTCTTCTTTTGTGATAGCCTTGAATCACATACTGCACCTGGAAGAGGAACCCAAAGCTGAGAAGTGGTGTAGGACAATTTTAAATGCTTCATTATGGAAAATTTCACAGATTCACAGAAGCGGAAATAGTAAGATGAACACCAATATTCCCACCACCTATATTCAACAACTGAGAATATTTTGCCTTGTCACTTCATTCAGCCATCTATCTACCTACCCATCTTACCCATCAACCTATCAATCTTGCTGAAACATTTCAAAGGAAATTAGAGACATCATGACAGTTTGCCCTAAATACTTCAGTATGCATCTCCCAAAAATAAGACATTCTCTGACATAAGCACAATACCATTATCATACCCAATAAATTCAATGATCATTCTCTTAAATAATTCACTATCTTGTCCACTCTCAACATTTCTCAATTGTCCCCAGGAAGTTTTATAAAAATAGGTATACAATCAAGGATGTGATATTTTATCTACTTTTTATGCCTTCAAGTCTTTTAATCTAGCATAATAGTATCTCCTTGAGTGTGTGTATGTGTGTGTGTGTAAATGTGTATATGGCTGCACATGCATACATGACATTGACTTTCCAAAGAGATGGGGATAATTTTCTTGTATTATATCCAAGTTCTCTGCTTCCTTCCTCTTTCCTCTGCCCTGTGCATTTCCTTCAAATTGGAAGTTAAAGCCAAAGGTATGATTAGACTCAGGTTAAATATTTTCAGCAAGGAAACTTGTAGGTAGCACTGGGCTTGATCACTTAGTTAAGGTGATAGTAGCCACTATACAGGGATGGTTTCCTTTGCCACAATGAGTACAAATCATATCTACCTACCTACCTACCTACCCACGCATACATATACACATATGTGATTACCATAGTGAGTAATCAATGAGTGTACCCCTCCAAGGCATGGGAAGATAGAATATCTAATGGTTTCAATATCAATTGGGAGATTCTTATCTGAACCAATTATGTCAGGGTACACAAAAAAGGTGATTTTTGAATTCTATCATTCCTTTTGCAGTTATCAGATGATATTCTGTAAAGAATAGCTTTCTCTCATCAAGTGAAATTTTCTGGTTATCTTGAACTCCTATTGAAAAGAGAATAATGCTTAATTATTTCTTTTTGAAATCTTAACATTCAGAATAAGGAGGGTTACAATAGGAGATTTTATTTTTCCTTTTTATATTTCCTTGTTATTATCAAATGACAGTTTTCATTTAAAAAAAAAACACAAAACCTCTGAACTCATTAAGCTAGGCATCTTAAAGTTAGTGATCTACCCATCAGTTTCTAACATGAAAATACATTCCTTATAATGTCCTCATAATGGATGAAAGAAACAGTGGGAAAGAGAGACAACCCCCACCCACCCCAAATTGTTTATTTTGGTTGTAGCCACAACTGTGTTTCCATGGCTAAGCACTTGGAATAACTTTGACACAATCAGTAGTGATAGCCACGTTGTACCCTTTAAAAGTGAAACAATTCTATTTATGTAATAGGGGTTTATGTCAATTTATAAAAACAGTGCTTACTTTGCAGGCTTAATGCAGGATCAGAAATGTTATTTTCGGAAAAGAAAAACAGATGATAAGTTTGCTTAAGTGGCTTTGTTTAAAACAGGGATGAAAACAGTTCTGTATACTTGATTTTAAAAACAGAAAACCATTTTAACAGAAACCCACAACAAAACTGGCTATAAAGACAGATTCCAACGTAATTATGGAAATTCATTTGAAGAGATTGTTTCTAAATGCAGCCTGCACTGTCCTCATTTGTAGCAAACAGCAGAACATCAATTCTAAAAGACAAGTAAGATTAATGAGAGGGAGCCAAGTAAGAAAAAATGGAGTGATTCTTATAGTTCTGGGAAAACAGTACTATATCTTTTTTTGGGGAAAATGTATGACTAGAAATTAATCTCAATTGGAGACCTTTAAAAATACTTTTCTTCTCAGTTCCGAAAGAGCAAATTTTCCTTTTTCTCTATAATTCTGGGACACGGATTTGAAGGCAGCGCAAAGCCCTGGAATGTAAATAAGAATTCTGTCCTGGGATCAGTTTTGCAGAAGGGGGGGGGGGGATTTGGCTTGACGAGAAGCAACCACTCCACAAGAGTTGAATGTTCTGGGCCAGTCCTGAGACTGCAGAGTTGCCAGATTTTAGTTTTTATGATATTTGGAAAATAATACTGAAGCCTCTGAAATATTATTGTACTTCTAGAATATTTTCTATATGGGGATTAGCCATATTTTGACTGAGAGAGACAAACAAAAGATCTACCCCAGGCCAATGTGAAAAAGTCAGCAGGAGCAAAGAACACAGCACTCTGACAATTACACAACTTGAGTCCCAGTGCATGTGGGAGAGGAAAGAGTCAGCGGTGCTTCAGCTACTATGGCTGGACATAGACACGTAGATTCTTAACACTTTTCGGAAATCTCTGACAACTATTACAGTAAATCCAGCTATTTGCCAATGTAATGGCTGATTAATGAAGCTAAGAGAAAGCTACAGATAATCCAGGTGCCTGGACAGAACATCAATTGACCTGGAATTCTTGGCCCTGGGAGCAGGAGTCTACTTCCAGAAATGACAGGGAGAAACCAAGAACTAACTCAAAAAGTAGGGTACTGAAAGGCAGAAAGAAACGAATGCAGTTTTAAAGAACTTTTCTGGTATCAACTAATGGCAAACACATGCACAGCTGCATGTATGCACTATGTGCAGGTGAAATGCAGGGGTTCCAAAACTGAAAACCGTAAGAAGGCACAGAGCAAAAACTTAGGGATAAAGAAAACTCAAAAAAGGAGTGACTTAAATCTCTGGATGTAAGAGATGAAGGTAAGCTGGAACAGGCGGTCAGAATCCTCAGAAAGGAAGGAGGAGGACAAGGAATAGAGCAGTCACCAGATGCATTGTAACTCAAAGCAGGAAAGGCAGATGTGAGACGGAGGTTGAGACAGGAAGAGGATATGGGGAGGAGGATGGCACGTGCACAATGACTTGGGATCTGCGGTACTGGAAGAAGGAGTCTTCCAAGGTGGAGCAGCTGGGGGGACTTGCTTTTTACCTTGTTGGTGAGCAGGTGGCATACTTGAGGAACATAATCAATGAGGCAGCCTCCTCCTGGAAAAGCTGGGATATGAAGAGCTGAGGAGCCTCCAAGCGCACTGAAAGGACAAGAGTACAATGGACAATTCTCTTAGGGCTCAAGCAACTCACCAAGCGATACCCCAGACAGATGTGGCTTCTCTCAGCAAAGTCTGGCCACCAGCTGCCTTGAATTAATGACGGAGAGAATACGGGCTTCCCTTTTATGATTAAATTACCGGATTCATTCTTTTAAACTAGTATGTTCACATTACCCTTCATTAATAACAACTACAGATGTTATCACACAATGGTACGACTCAGCAAACGCTGGCTGGCACAGGCAAATGTCTTACTGACATAAGTGGGTGAGATATGTTGTTGAAACACACTTTGATACTCTTCAATATGCTCAATTCAGTGTGGGGCAAAGATAAGTTATTCACTGAACACCTGAACTGAACCAAAATGGATTGACCCAATGCTGTAACAATGCATTCAAGAGACCAGTTCTATGGCTCACCAGCTCTCTTACGTTGTGTGCTAACAGGTATACTAGAAAAAGGTATAGTCTAAACACAAAGGCCAGTCAACAATCATCAATCCAAACACTAAGCTACAATACTGATTCAGAAACAAGGTTCTAGAACTTCCATGGGGATTCCTCTTTCAATTTAAATTGAAACAGCATACAGTTATCAAAAGAAATTGTTGAGAACTGTATGGCAGGGGCCGGCACTGTGGTGTAATGGGTAAAGTTGCTGCCTGCAATGCTGGCATCCCATATGGGCACTGGTTTGAGTCCCAGCTGCTCCACTTCTGATCCGGCTCTCTTGCTATGGCCAGGGAAAGCAGTGGAGGATGGCCCAAGTCCTTGAGCTCCTTCACCTGCGTGGGAGACCTGGAGGATGTTCCTGGCTCTTGGCTTCAGATCGGCGTAGCTCTGGCAGTTGCGGACATCTGGGGAGTAAGCCACTGAGATGGAAGACCTCTCTCTCTCTCTCTCTCTCTGCCTCTGCCTCTCTGTAACTCTACCTTTCAATTAAAATAAATAAATCTTTGAAGACAAAAAAGAACTGTATGGCAGGAACTTAATTTATCACCTTGGTCTTGATTTCATCTTCTTTCCTTATTTTGACTTTTCTTTTCTCTAGTTTGATTTCCTTATTTTAATTTAATGTATATATTTCTATAAGCCTCTTAAGCCCTCTCTATAATATAGTGAGATATTTTTAAAAAATATTAAAATCCTTTAATCCTGTGTTATTCATTACCCAAGTCTCCACAATTACAAGGTTGAAAAGAGAAGAAAAGGATGTCTTAAAAACTGCCCAGAAAATCATTCCTGAAAAGTTGAGGGCAGGCTGACCCAGTATAGTAGGGTTTATGATGCACAGAACACACACGTAACTACTAAAAGGATTCCAGACCCATCCTGTTTTAACTAAATATTTCTGAAATTAATTTTTTAATAAAAATGGGTTTGTTTGTGGGAATGAAGAATCTCAATAAACAAAAGCACAGGCGATGTGAGGAAGTCAATCCAGAGTGGAAATATCTGATATTGACTTATACTCTCTGACAACCAATAAAATCCTAAGCCAGCATTGGACTAAGTTTGGCACTAACTGAATCAGCTGTACTCTGCAACTGCAAGGAACCTTTGCGCTCAGAGCAGATGCTGGATTAGATTTGGCCTGAACCTGAAGGAGCCGAGGAGAGCTGCTATGACTTCCTATGAACTGCGGGGAGATTTCTGTCCCCTCTTTGAAGGCGCACATCTCACTGGAAGGTTCTGACTATTCCCTTCAGATGGAAAACTGATTAGGAAGAAGATTTCAGTATTTACATCCTGTAGTTATTGGTTAAATATCTGTATAACATGGGGAATGCAAGGCCCAGGCTACTCATAGCTTACTCACAGGAACAACTCTTGGCATAATGAAATTCCAAGAAAGAAAATAATTTGGACAGTTCTTTGGATTTAACTGTAATGGGATTTGACTTGTATAAAAAATTACAGAATAAGTTCTTAATCATTCACTAAACTGCATCAAGGAAGGGAAATAGCGCATGGATAATTCCCTAAACTCAACACTCCTTACTTTTTTTGCTCATTCACTGCTTGAATTGTGTCATTCTGAAATATGGTCGTTAAATGAAAATCGCCTGTAATGATGGAACGCAGAGGTGTGAAGAAATTCAAGGACCAGCTGTTTTGCTGTTGGGCTCATGTTTCTGCACCCCACTTCTGCGACCATCAAGAACTCACACTTTTAGTTAGGCACTTTACCACATTATCTAATTTGATTCTCCCCATGATCCTGTGAGGCTGGAATTACCACTAGAATTTTAAAGGTGGAGAAATCAAGGCTTAGAGAGAAGTTGCCTCAGATTTACACAACTAGACAATGGCAGGACCACACCCTGAACACAGGTCTGTCTTTCCATGCTGCTTCTGCTGAAATATGCTACCTCCTGAGAGGAGGGGGATGTGAGCCAAAGCACGCTACAGGGGCGGGATGGCACAGCAGGTCTGGCTCCCAGTCAGCTGCTCAGGACCCTGATAGGGTAAAGGTTCCTAGAGGCACTCAAACCATCACTCCACGGACACGTGCAGTCTTCCACACAACAGCAAGACTCCAGCCACCAAACAATCAGATACACTTGACCTTGGATGTCATGACCCAACCACCCTGCCATGTCTAATTCTCTAATACTTAGTAGCTATGCAGAGTGAGCCTCAATACACGGAGCACTTCAGGTACTAGGAAGGATAGTTTGAACTCAGAGTTTATTTTTAAAAGGATGCTTATTTCACTCTTCGGTTAACTCTGTAGTTTCTCGGGTTGTAAAAGTCCAAAACCTAACATACAGTGTCACAAACTGATAAGTGCCGCTGATTCATGCATGGATATCCGCCTCATGAGTAAATATTTAACAGGCTTGCTAAAGCCTGAATGCTGCCCTGATCGTGCTGAACAAACAAAGTCAAGTGCCATGAAATAAAAGAGCTATTATAGTTTTAAGGGTGGAAGATGGAGGTAAGGCCTTGTAATCTAATTATTTAATATTGATGAATCAAGAAATATTGAGCTGAGTGTGTACATATAGCAGGAAGATCACCCTATGCAGAAATTCCAAGGCCCCCTCAGACGTCCCTAGGAATCCAGGGCTGGCTGGAGAGAAGGCAGGGCCTGACTACCCGGAAGTGGCTGAGCTGGGGCTGGGGCAGGGGTGAGGAAGAGATGAAAGGGACACTTGGCATTGCTTCTGATCTCCAGCTTGACGCAGTGAGGTAGCAGGGGTGACCCGGTGAGGACATCAGCGTCACACCCCCAGACAGAACTTGGGAGAGATGAGAAAGTGCCATCTATCTCTTCATGCACTAAAATGATACATCAAGTTAGTTGACAGTTCTTAAAACTGAAATTAAACCTGTGGATATAAATTAGAAGAACGAGGCCAGCTTGAGTTTGAAAAAGCTTCTCCACAGTGTAGTTCATTAAATAGACCAAAAGGTAACCAGAAAAGCATTTCCAGGACTGTCTGATGGCGCCAAATTTAAGTGAAATGTAAGAACTGTCTATAGGACACGCATTAACGTGATCCTTTTCCACACAAGCGACGCTAACAGAGCCCTTGGGAAGTCCTGCTCTGTCTGTAAATATGAGTGTCTCTAAAGAGAAGACTTCCCTTGGCTGCAGACTGACAGCAGCAGGGAGTTCTTTCTGAGTATTTTGACATGGAAAAATGCAGACAGCCAGCCTGTCTGCAAGTCTGACTGGGGACAATGGGGTTTTGATGTGGACTCACTGAGGAACAGCAACCCCCGTCCAACGTGGGGTTTCACCTGACTAGTCAATTAAAATGAGCAAAACATAATAAAGTGGCCAGCGCTGTGGCTCACTAGACTAATCCTCTGCCTGCGGTGCCGGCGCCCCGGGTTCTAGTCCTGGTTGGGATGCCGGTTCTGTCCTGGTTGCGCCTCTTCCAGTCCAGCTCTCTGCTGTGGCCCAGGAGTGCAGTGGAGGATGGCCCAAGTGCTTGGGCCCTGCACCTGCATGGGAGACCAGGAGAAGCACCTGGCTCCTGGCTTTGGATTGGCACAACGCACCAGCCATAGCAGCCATTTGGGGGGTGAACCAACAGAAGGAAGACCTTTCTCTCTGTCTCTCTCTCTTACTGCCTAACTCTGCCTGTTAAAAACAAAACAAAACAAAACACCATAATGAAGCAATGGAGACAACTAGAAGGACCAGAGACTCAGTGACACTGGCTGCTTCTGTCACGCTTTCCCTCCTTGGTTCCACCCAACTTCCTTATCAGCACACAGTGGCGATGACGCTGCTCTTGGAAAGACCCATCTCTCAGAGCCCTAGAAGGGCTCTGGTAAGGATTAGAAGGCCACCAACGGGAAATGGCACCAAGCACTCCAGGGGAGACACTATTCGAGAGTGTTTCAAGTTTGAGTGTTTTCATACCAGGGTCATGAGAAGGCACTGGCATAGACACTTGGGCAGCCTCAGTACCCTGTTCTTGCTGGTGAATTGGGTTCTGAGGGAGAGGAAGCTGACCTGGCTGGCTCCTCCAGACTGTGATTCAGAGGAGCGCTGGAGGTTGAAGCCAAGAAACTTCCAGGATGGCAGACAGAGACAAACTGCCTCGAGCCCCCACGCAAAGGAATTCCTAAGCGAAAGATGCCTGCTTCCATCCAGTTCAACACACACCAACCACGTGCCTAACTATTTAAGGTCTTGAATTTCCCATTCTGAATATGTGACTTGGACATATTCATATTGGAACTTTGGTAAGTTCTTCCAAGGCAGAAGAATGCCAAGGCCCTCAAGAACCTGATACTCGGTAGTAACAGAAGATGTTTCCCAGTGGCCTGCTGGGGGACTATAAACTAAACAAGGCACTGTCACTGTTGAGCGTGCACCCTGGCCAGACGCTCCACTGGCACTCCATGATCTCTGAACCTCACACGTACCCTTTCAAGTTGCCCTACGGAGCCCAAGTTACAGGTGAGAAGACTGAGGTTCTAAGAGTTTAGGTAACTTTTCCAAGACAGTGCAGC